GGTATGCGGATTCGAACCCGCGACCCTCAGATTGTGAGTCGAGCGCCTTATCCACCTGGCCATGCCAGGCGCTTCAGAATTCAAAAATCAGTTTAGTTTGTTTGCAGTTAAGCACGAGGCTGCACAACGGGCTACCTGTGCTGTGTCCACCACGGGTTTTGAAAACCGGTTTTTAGCGTCCCGAGTTCACAGACTGACCACTAAGCCACTGACGGGCTGGGGGGGGGGTATTAGTTACCCGAATTACATATTCTGTGGGTTGTGCACGCTTTAGTGTTTGTTGTGCCGCAATGTGAATCCCAAGTTCGTGCCTCGTCGTTCAAAAAAATAGTGCTCGGCGCTATGGGGGCGCAAGTGTGTTATTAGAATAACTGTAAAATACCACTATTCGATTAGAGCAGTCTAAGATTTGTGGTTGGTCACAACTAGAAACGATTATATACAGATAGACCTTGTGTACCTTTGTGCGAATATCAGAAGTACGTAAACTTTGTTGTTGTTTTTACCTGCTTAATCTTATCGAACTGTAGGAAACGTATTACCGAAGACAATTTTTCCTGTACGGGGAATAATCAGCCTGTTAGGCATGCGAAATAACTTCAGAATAAAATTTATTCATGAATATAGAATAACGTCGCGTTACTTGCGTGATAATTTTAAAGATAAGAATGTGAGTACAGGACCGGTATTACCATTTTCGCCATGATTGCGATATCAATTCTACACGTGTATTGTTTTCAGTTTGTGTATATTGATCTCTTTATACGTCTCGCCCAGATCTTAGTTTCGCTTAACGTGGATTGATCCCTTCATACGTCTCGTCCAGACCTTAGCTTTACTTGGATTGATCCCTTCATATGTCTCGTCCAGACCTTAGCTTCGCTTTACGTGGATTGATCCCTTTATATGTCTCGTCCAGATCTTAGTTTCGCTTAACGTGGATTGATCCCTTTATACGTCTCGTCCAGATCATAGTTTCGCTTAACGTGGATTGATCCTTTTATACGTCTCGTCCAGATCATAGTTTCGCTTTACGTGGATTGATCCTTTTATATGTCTCGTCCAGATCATAGTTTCGATTTACGTGGATTGATCCCTTTATACATCTCGTCCAGACCTTAGCTTCGCTTTACGTGGATTGATTCCTTTATACATCTCGTCCAGATCTTAGTTTCGCTTTACGTGGATTGATCCCTTTATACGTTACGTCCAGACCTTAGCTTCGCTTTACGTGGATTGATCCCTTCATACATCTCGTCCAGACCTTAGCTTCGCTTTACGTGGATTGATCCCTTTATACATCTCATACAGATCCTCTCTTCAGTTGAGCACTTGGTGACAATCCCAGTAGTCCACCAACATTTCTTGTGGAGACGGGCCATTTCGTACGATGTAGAAGAGTTCCTTCAGTTGAGCACTTGGTGACAATCCCAGTAGTCCACCAACATTTCTTGTGGAGACGGGCCATTTCGTACGATGTAGAAGAGTTCCTTCAGTTGAGCACTTGGTGACAATCCCAGTAGTCCACCAACATTTCTTGTGGAGACGGGCCATTTCGTACGATGTAGAAGAGTTCCTTTACTAATTGTTACCAGTGGTCTTCTCCTTGTGTGCTGTCTTAGTGATCCCCATTTCATGCCCCTCCCCATGATCCCCATTTCATACCCATGATCCCCATTCATGTCCCTCCCCCAGCTACACCATTTACTTTGTTTTCTAACAGTCTCATTGCCTCCAAATGAATGTCGATAAATATTTTATTCCCGCTTTTACCTTACTCTAGTGCAAAGGAATTCCCCCCCCCCCCTCTTCTTCTGGACAGTCGAGGTTCCACGAACATGCCCGCCCTTTCAGCTGTGTGAGCGTTATAACGTGATGGTCAATACCAATATTCATTGATAAAAAAGTAGCCCAAAAGTTGGCGGTGAGTGATGTTGACTAGATGCCTTCCCTCTAGTCTATCATTTCAAAATTAAGAGCGTGAAAGTCAAAGAAACAAACACCTGAGACATTACACACTCGCGTTTTTTGACAAACAAGAAAGAAAAGTATGACGTTTCGGCCTCCATTCCAAGTCCCTCTTCAGGTCATAGAAAAAGAAAAAAAAAAGACTGTACAAGAAAGCTGAAAACATTGTTTTTCAATACTGATTAAATAATTTTGAAAGAAGCAAACAATATGAACGAGAAGAAATAGTGATCCCACCCCTTTGTCCTAAATAGTTTATCCCTCGGAAGCCATAGCACTGTTCCCCCACTGGTTGTTCAAATACTGGTAAGGGAATAACGCATAAATTTAGATCCTGTAACCACGTGACAATGCTCCCCCATTGGTTGTTCAAATACTGGTAAGGGAATAACGCGTAAATTTAGATCCTGTAACCACGTGACAATGCTCCCCCATTGGTTGTTCAAATACTGATAAGGGAATAACGCGTCAATTTAGGTCCTGTAACCACGTGACAATGCTCCCCCCACTGGTTGTTCAATACTGGTAAAGGAATAATGTGTCAGTTTAGGTCCTGTAACCACGTGACAATGCTCCCCCACTGGTTGTTCAACCAAGTGGGGAGTCGATCATCGTTTCTAGTGTGGTTAAAGAAGGAACAAGTTTCACACGTGCGTTATGAACACTGAAAATTACAAGGAACATGTTTCACACGTGCGTTATGAACTCTGAAGTTTACAAGGAACAAGTTTCACACGTGCGTTATGAACTCTGAAGATTACAAGGAACAAGTTTCACACGTGCGTTATGAACTCTGAAGATTACAAGGAACAAGTTTCACACGTGCGTTATGAACTCTGAAGATTACAAGGAACATGTTTCACACGTGCGTTATGAACTCTGAAGATTACAAGGAACATGTTTCACACGTGCGTTATGAACACTGAAGATTACAAGGAACAAGTTTCACACGTGCGTTACGAACACTCATAGTAGATTAAAAGAAAGAGTAATTCCAGAAGCTGCTTCACATCACTGTAGCTTTTAAAAGTAGTTAAGGGGCGTTTATTTTAAATTTCGCGCAATTTAAAAAAGAATATTGCCAAATTGCAGACAAAAGCCTATATTAAAGTTGTTCGTTCTTGGTTTGGTTTGTTATGAATTTCGCGCAAAGCTACACGAGAGCTATCTGCGCGAGCCGTCCCTAATTTAGCAGTGTAAGACTAGACGGAAGGCAGCTCGTCATCACCACCCACTACCAACTCTTGGGCTACTCTTTTTCCGACGAATAGTGGTATTGTCTGTCCCGTTTTAACGCCCCTACGGCTCAAGGGGTAAGCATATTT